TAGCGAAGAACTCGTCTGAACAATTACCATGAAAGTATTTATAGAAAAGGATTAGGGGAACAACATTACGGCGGTGCGAAAGTTACTGAGCCGTCTTCCCGTTCGCAGGATTAGCCCAGTTGTCACAGATATTCAGTTGTTGTTTTGTTTTTTTTTTGTTGTTTTTTTTTTCAAATTAGTGCAGAGTCACTTCCGGATGATTGTGTATAATTGACTCTGGGGTTTTAAAAAAGACTCATTACTCGCGGTTTTCCATCTTTTCTCGCCATAACAAATCCGGCATGTTGGAGACCTTTATGATTTTGCCAGATTACTAGATGTCATGGGTCCTTACCTATAACTACAGAATGAACTCTTCCTAACACTATGTATACTACGCCTCTCAAGAGAGAGGGACGAATCAAGCCGATCTTTTCGACTTGACGGTCGAACTCTCTGCTTTTGAGCAGAAAGGAACCCGGACGAGGTTCCGCCGAAGGGCAGAATCTCGTTCGGGGTGAAATGACCCACCCTATCTCGTTTTACAGTCATACGGGCATATTTTTTTGAGCTGAGGAAACCTAAAAAATGACGGGCTCAACCTCGTGGGGGGTGGCTAGATACCGAATTGCCGATAAAAACTCTGCTTTGAGCAGACCTTGACGAGGTTTCTCGTTCGGGGTGAATGACAACCCTCGTTTTTACGAGTCATACGGGCATATTTTTGGCTGAGCCTATGCTGAATCAAAATGACCTTGATCAACCCTTTACGAATCTTGATCTTTCGAACTCGAACTCTGCTTTTGAGCAGAAAGGAACCCGGACGAGGTTTCGCCGAAGGGCAGAATCTCGTTCGAGGTGAATGACCTACCCTGATCTCGTTTTTACGAGTCATACGGGCATATTTTTGGCTGAGCCTACGACAGAAACCCACGATAAAAATGACCTTGTGTCGCATGCAACCCTCGTGGGGGTGGCTAGATACTGAATCAAGCCGATCATTTCGACTTGACGGTCGAACTCTCTGCTCTTGAGCAGAAAGAACCCGGACGAGGTTCCGCCGAAGGGCAGAATCTCGTTCGGGGTGAATGACCTACCCTGATCTCGTTTTTACGAGTCATACGGGCATATTTTTTGGCTGAGCCTACGGGCTCAGGGAAACCCACGATAAAAATGACCTTGTGTTGCATGCAACCCTCGTGGGGGTGGCTAGATACTGAATCAAGCCGATCTTTTCGACTTGACGGTCGAACTCTGCTTTGAGCAGAAAGGAACCCGGACGAGGTTTCGCTGAAGGCAGAATCTCGTTCGAATGACTTCTCCTGATCTCGTTTTTACGAGTCATCGAACCTACGGGCTCAGGAAACCCACGATAAAAATGACCTTGTGTCGCATTAACCCTCGTGGGGGTGGCTAGATACTGAATCAAGCCGATCTTTTCGACTTGACGGTCGAACTCTCTTTTTGAGCAGAAAGGAACCTGACGAGGTTCCGCCGAAGGGCAGAATCTCGTTCGGGGTGAATGACCTCCCTGATCTCGTTTTTTACGAGTCATACGGGCATATTTTTTGGCTGAGCCTACGGGCTCAGGAAACCCACGATAAAAATGACCTTGTGTCGCATGCAACCCTCGTGGGGGTGGCTAATACTGAATCAAGCCGAGCTTCTCGACTTGACGGTCGAACTCTCTGCCTTTGAGCAGAAACCCGGACGAGGTTCCGCCGAAGGCAGAATCTCGTTCGGGGTGAATGACCCTACCCTGATCTCGTTTTTACGAGTCATACGGGCATATTTTTGGCTGAGCCTACGGGCTCAGGAAACCCACGATAAAAATGACCTTGTGTCGCATGCAACCCTCGTGGGGGTGGCTAGATACTGAATCAAGCCGAGCTTTTCGACTTGACGGTCGAACTTTCTGCCTTTGAGCAGAAAGGGAACCCGGACGAGGTTCCGCCGAAGGGCAGAATCTCGTTCGGGGTGAATGGAAACCACGATAAAATGACCTCCTGAACCTCTCGTACTTTTTTCGAGTTGACGGTCGAACTCTTTTTGAGCAGAAAAGGAACCCGGACGAGGTTTCGCCAAGGGCAGAATCCGGGTGAATGACCTATGATCTCGTTTTTTACGAGTTATACGGGAGATGCAACCCGGAAACCCACGATAAAAATGACCTTGTTCCGATACTGAATCTCGATCTTTTTCGACTTGACGGTCGAACTCTGCTTTTGAGAAAGGAACCCGGACGAGGTTTCGGCAAGGGCAGAATCTCGTTCGGGGGTGAATGACCTACCCTGATCTCGTTTTTACGAGTTATACGGGAGATATTTTTGGCTGAGCCTACGGGCTCAGGGAACCCACGATAAAAATGACCTTGTGTCGCATGCAACCTCGTGGGGTGGCTAGATACTGAATCAAGCCGAGCTTCGACTTGACGGTCGAACTCTCTGCTTTTGAGCAGAAAGGAACCCGGACGAGGTTCCGCCGAAGGGCAGAATCTCGTTCGGGGTGAATGACCTACCCTGATCTCGTTTTTACGAGTCATATTTTTGGCTGAGCCTACGGGCCTAAAAATGACCTTGTGTCGCATGCAACCCTCGTGGGGGTGGCTAGATACTGAATCAAGCCGAGCTTTGACGGTCGAACTTTCTGCCTCTGAGCAGAAAGGAACCCGACGAGGTTCCGCCGAAGGGCAGAATCTCGTTCGGGGTGAATGACCTACCCCATCTCGTTTTACGAGTCATGACCTTTTTGGCTGAGCCTACGGGCTCGCCCACGATAAAATGACCTTCTGTCGCATGCAACCCTCGTGGGGTGGCTAGATACCGAATCAAATGAGCTTCTTTGACTTGACGGTCGAACTCTGCTCTTGAGCAGAAGGAACCCGGACGAGGTTCCGCCGAAGGGCAGAATCTCGTTCGGGGAGAATGACCTGATCTCGTTTTTACGAGTCATACGGGTATATTTTTGGCAGCGGGAAACCCACGATAAAAATGACTTGTGTCGCATGCAACCCTCGTGGGGGTGGTTAGATACCGAATCAAGCCGAGCGAGCTCGACTTGACGGTCGAACTCTGCTCTTGAGCAGAAAGGAACCCGGACGAGGTTCCGCCGAAGGGCAGAATCTCGTTCGGGGTGAAAGACCCACCTGATCTCGTTTTTACGAGTCATACGGGCATATTTTTTGGCTGAGCCTACGGGCTCAGGAAACCCACGATAAAAATGACCTTGTGTCGCATGCAACCCTCGTGGGGGGTGGCTAGATACTGAATCAAGCCGAGCCTCTCGGCTTGACAGTCGAACTCTCTGCCTCTGAGCAGAGAGGAACCCGGACGAGGGTCCGCCGAAGGGCAGAGTCTCGTTCGGGGAGGTTGACCAACCCGATCCCGTTTATACGGGTTCTACGGGCATTTTTTGTCCGAGCCTACGGTCTCGGGAAACCCACGTTAAACTCGGCCTTGTGCCACATGCAACCCTCTTGGGGTGGGGGTGGGGGCTAGATACCGAATCAAGCCGAGCCGATAGTCGTTCACTCCAAACCAGACTGACAGTCATACTAACATCTTCCACATCTTGTATTATTATTTCGTGTAATATACTTTCGTTATTTCTACTCTTGTGTTTGTGTTGTTCTTCCTTGGTCCTAACCTGGACCATAACACTAGATTACTGCTAAATGCTTCATCTTATCTTTAAAATACCCTGTTAATCTGTAATAAAGGAAATTGAATGTAAAACACTTTCGATATTCATGACTAGAGCTAAATGACAGGGGGTTACAATAAAAGCTAAGACAGATGCAAACCGAGACAAATATCGACATTTAGAAAAAGATAATTAGTTATTTAGCTTAAATTTGATTGGTATATGACCACAAGTATAAAAGTCAATCCAATGAGGATCAATTAAGGTGTAATTGCAATGATAATATTAACCGTTTCCCTACAAGAAAGCATTTGGCATTCATTAACCGAGCAGCCAGTAATGTTTTCGGTTGAAATTTATAGCAATATTTCAAGTAAAACAATTTTCTTAAGGAAAACAGGTTTCTAAAGTCCAGTAGCCGTTATCGCTCTTTCCAGTATTGATTGGGGTTTTCCTTCTTAACCTTTTATTCGAAATAATTTGAAATGTTAACATCTTGTTTATGTTTTTGTAGCAGAAAACTGGCTCTATCCAACTGTGTTATTTTGCTCCCTGTATCCATTGCAGATTCCACTCAAACAGCTTCTTACCATGAAAAGCTACTTTGTGGAACTGAGTCACAAGAGGTTGTTTTCTCCGACCACTAAAATCTTAACCTGTTCAAGTCTAGGATTTACCGTAATCTTTCCTATATATGCACATAAACTGCACCTCTTACTCTTAGTGTTCACAAAGAAAATTCCTTCAGTAACTCTCTACCTTGAGTTGCTCTTGGGCCTTGTATAAGTGTAAACAGTATAAAAAGTATACAGTATAAAATAGAAGATATTACTTTTTGCTATATTTTACACATAATAGTCCTATACTTCTATGGGTTCCTGATTACTGACAATGCCTTCTTTTCTGATTTTAATGAACTTCTATAGTAATGGTAATGATAATGTTAGTCGTTTCCCTATAAGGAAACATTTAGCATTCATTAACCAAGCAGCCAGTACTGTTTTCAGCTGATATTTATAAAATGTTTCTCTGAAAACATATTTTGAGAAACTGGTTTCGCATGCTTTTTACCACTCTTTCCAGTATTGATGAGGGGAGGGTATCCGTTCGAACATTTTATTTGATGTGTTGTGGAATATCAACATCTTGATTATGTCATTATATTCTCTTCGAGATACATGTGGTATCCATGTCGTTTCTGCTGTTGGTAGTTTTTGTCTGTGACTCTCCCAATGTTAACACCTATCTATCATCAATATAAGTCTCTTGATGAGTCTATTCATATCTATCTATCTATCATCAATATAAGTCTCTTGATAAGTATGTTCATATCTATCTAGCTAGCTATTAATCTGTCTATCATCAATATAAGTCTCTTGATGAGTCTGTTCATATCTATCTATCTATCTATTTCGTATTTTGCTTTGATAAAGTCCACATTGGACGAAACGCGTCAGCAATTACTACTTTTCCTATTGTCATTTTTATTCATAAATATTGTCTTCTCTACTGGTTAAATCAGAGAAATATTCATATCTATCTATCTATCTATCTATCTATCTATCTATCTATCTATCTATCTATCTTCAGTATAAGTCTCTTGATAGGTCTGTTCATATCTATCAATCTATCGTCAATATAAGTCTCTTGATGAGTCTATTCATCTCTATCTATAATCAATATAAGTTTCTTGATGAGTCTATTCATATCTATCTATCTATCTATCTATCTATCTATCTATCTATCTATCTATCTATCATCAATATAAGTCTCTTGATAAGTCTGTTCTTACCTATCTATCTATCTATCTATCTATCATCAATATAAGTCTCTTGATAAGTCTGTTCTTACCTATCTATCTATCTATCTATTATCAATATAAGTCTCTTGATGAGTCTATTCATATTTATCTATCTATCATCAATACAAGTCTCTTGATAAGTCTGTTCATATCTGCCTATCTATCTATCATCAATATAAGTCTCTTGATGCGTCTATGCATATCTATCTATCTATCTATCTATCTATCTATCTATCTATCTATCTATCTATCTATCAATATGTCTCTTGATAAGCCTGTTCATATCTATATATCTATCTATCATCAGTATAACTCTCTGATAAGCCTGTTCATATCTACCTATCTATCTATCTATCATCAATGTAAGTCTCTTGATGAGTCTATTCATATCTATCTATCTATCATCAATATAAGTCTCTTGATAAGTATGTTCATATCTATCTAGCTAGCTATTAATCTGTCTATCATCAATATAAGTCACTTGATAATTGTTTTGATAAGCAAAACAAAAAATGGTTCTGACCACTTAAATGGTGGCCCGTCAGTAAAGCAATAACGAGGTTGTGTGGCGCCATGAACCATTAACTTTGTATACTACTATCTCATGACTTTTTATAGCTTAGTTTACAAGCCTCGACCTCTGTTGACATTTTGTCTAGAAAGAGTTTTAACAGAGGACGGAAAAAGCAAACAACGAAAGATGCATTCAAAAAGGTAAGAAAAATATTAAGAAACAGGAAAATTTCGTTAAGAACAAAGATTACTAGACTATTATGTAATATCACTCCTTCTATATACCAAAAGCTAAAAAAATCACCTCAAAGATGAAGAAATATGAGACAACAGAAATGTGGTTCTACAGAAGGATGCTGAGAATCCTATGAACCGAACATTTGAATATCGAGGAACTTTTAGGGAAATTGGAAACAAAAATGACACTCATACTTATAAACAGAAGAGAAAATTGAAATTTCTAGGCAGATAGTCAGGAAAGAAGGTATGGAGAATTTGACACTCACGGGACATATTGAAAGCAAGAGAGAGGAAATCAAATAATAGCCTATCTAAAAAAAAAAAACTTGGGTAACTGTTTGACAGAACACAACCCTTACTAAGAGCCAGAAAGGACAGGATAATAGATCTCCTACGTCCTGAAGGGACATAGCACATAGAAAGAGGAAGAAGATATTTATGGCATGAAGTTAGTACAAGTACTTACTGATTGTCTGCAGTCACCGACAAAACAAGAAACCACAACTTCACAAAGAAGCCATATTAGAGCAATTTGAGTCATTTTTTAAGTGGAGCGTATAGAGACATATGGTGGATACGATCAAAGTTTTCCTCGGTGGCTAACGGACACATCCCGTTGAAACCTCATACGATCACCGAAGTTGAGAAACCTCTAGCCTGGTCAGTACCCAAGAGAGCAACAGACGTAAGAAAATAAAGAAAAAAAATACTGGAGATACTATTCGTCAAATTTTCAGGGGAATTAAAAAGAGGTCTTATGGCCGGCGACTTTTCTTTTCCAGACACATCCGTCGGCCAAGGCTTCTAGTAAATCGGTATTACAAGCACCTGCTCAACCCACAGAGTTACACATGTGGTTTATTCTGAAACAAAGCTAAGCAGACCTTAGAGTTAGTGGGGGAAAGTGCATAATCTGGTGTGATCATATTTCTTTTTAACAAAACCTCAGTCACGATGACTTGCAAATTCGTGCTCGCACAACCATCGACAGATTCCGAACGGTTCCATCTACCCACTATCACTCACAAGACTTGAATTAACCCTTGCTATTGTTTTTAGACACTTTCCTAAGGTGCTGCACGCTGGTATTGCTGATATGGCCTGAGGAGGCGATATCAGCGTGCAGAAGTCACATTCCTGATAAATTGACAATGGTGAGATTGAAAGCTGAGTCTCATGACCAGAAAACAAAAAGGTTCTAACCACTCGGCCACGAGGATTCCAAGTGATTCCAAGTTAAGAATTTGATTGAATTATACAATAATAACAGGATGCGACATTATAGCTTAACGGCTAAGATGTTTCAGTGAGCTAGCTAGCTAGCTAGATAGATAGATGTGAACAGACTTATTAACAGACTTACATTGATAATAGATAGATAGATAGATAGATAGATAGATAGATAGATAGATAGATAGATAGATGTGAAAAGACTTAACACTTATATTATTCATAGATAGATAGATATGAACAGACTTATCAAGATAGATAGATAGATAGATAGATAGATAGATAGATAGATAGATAGATAGATAGATAGATGTGAAAAGACTTAACGCACTTATATTATTCATAGATAGATAGATATGAACAGACTTATCAAGATAGACTTATTAAGAGAATTATATTGATGATAGATAGATAGATAGATAGATAGATAGATAGATCTAATTGCACATCAGTACAAAATGCTCAGGGAATATAGAGACAAAACTAAGAGAGAAAAAGGAAATTTGAAACTGTATTATTCTAACGAAAAGCCGAAAATATGCAATCGGTTCTTGTTTCCACTCGGTACCGACACATTTTTTTTTTTTTTTTTTTGGGGAAAAATACTGGTAATTTTCTCCAGTCACGTAAATGTAATGATATGACCATTTTTGTGACTGCATTGGCTGTAACATTCATTTTTCTCTTCGTCTCTATCTCCCCAGTTGCACGTATTCACTTACAGATTAGCGGGCGTTACATTGCATTGTATCAGGTGATAGAAATTACTGCACCAGAATTAGCAGAGCTTTTATACTTTCAAAATTTTCTCAAACTTTTACTCTCTCGCTCTCTTTTCACTCTCCTCTGTTTTTTGTCTGTCTGTCTGTCGCTCCTTCATTTTCTTTTCCCTCATCCTGCCGATATATTTCTGTCTCTACCTCTTTCTTTCTCTCAATCTCCCTCTTTCTCTTTGTTGTTTTATTCGCTTCCCACTTTCACTCTCACTTAGTTTTATTTTTTTCTTTTCCAAATGATTTGTATGTGTCTCCCTTTTTCTAATCGTGCCCTCTTTTCCTCCTCTCTTTCTATTCTTCATAATTAATTTCTTTCTTCACTTGAATCTCTCTTGTATTTTACACCCTCTCTTTTGACGCTCTTTCTTTCGTTTCTATAATTTCTCCTTCTGTATATTTCTTTGTATTTTTCTTTCTTTCCTGAAAGTACTCCCTATCTCCACGAAAGTCACTGGAGCTACAAAGGAACGGCGTTGTTCACACTAAAACTTTCTTTCGTTCATTATTTTTCATTTGTTCATGTATTTCTCAGAAAACTTCAGAATATTCTGGATATATTTGAGTATCTTCTTTTTTTTTTTTTTTTGTTAAAAAAGTTGCAAGAAACCGGTTTTAAGTGCAGTTTTCAAAAAAAAAAAAAAAAACGAACGCTGAAAACCTTTGCGCGATATCTCTTTTATAAGTACCTCCACTAATTCGGTTTATGTAAGGTTTAAAATTATTTTTTTAAATGAAAAAGCTTTCTTGAAGCTTTGATTTACCTTTAACTAAAACCTAAAGGATTTAAAATTTACTATTTCCAATGAGCAAAATACTTTGTGGTGTATTCCAAACATAATGATCGGAATCGATTTTTTTAGTAAAATCGATGAAAGCAGACATTTTGACACATTTGTAAACAAAAGTTAATTCTCGGTTTTAAAAATCTTGAAAACATAAAATATATATTTCTGAAACGTTATTTGAAGAAAACTAGCAAATTGAGAGTTAAATTAATCTGATTTTAAACAATTATTACTTACCTATATCATAAAATGTTGTATACACGCGTTTCATAACCACGGGGTCTTGTTTTTCTACCGTGTTAATCGATTTATTGACAGCTGAACGTGTTCATAGTTAAGTATGGTGGAGCAGACAATAATGTTCATATGAGGGTTTTTTTCATAAGTGAGCGACAACCCTTAAAACACGTACCTTTTAAGGATAATGTTAGGTTCGAACATCCATACTTAGAAATTCTGCACGTATATCGCATATACAAAAACAAAACGAAATTCTTTTTCAAATATTCGGGGCCATCAGACTGTAAAAAGCTTTGCAATATATGATTAGTAAATATAGTTTTACTTAGTAACAATATTTCCTAAGAGTTATAACACTGAAACCGAATTGTAAAAGATTTAAAAACTTTATAAATTATAAAATTGTAAAAAAATAGAAGCAAATCATGTAAAACTTCATTTTTCGTCGATTTTTTTGTCAGACAATATTGTCTTTAATATATATTATTCATAAAAGCAATTAAAAACTTCTCTAATTAAATAATGTTTCAGTTTTATTGCATTTTTATTTTTCGATTCCGAACAGATTTTTGGTAAGTCGGGACCCGATTCTGCAAAAGAAATTCGGCGATTTAAATTCTTCAAAGAAATCTGTTTTTAACTAATGTAGTTACTAAAAATTATTACGTTGAATTTCTCAAGTTTTTATAAAATGAAGTAAGGTGCCGAAACATATGCAAAAAATATTTTTACCAAGATCTTATTTATTATAAAACGCAGATTGTGTGTGTGTGTGTGTGTGTGTGTGTGTGTGTGTGACGTTTATATATTGGATCGGATTTCCTACATTTTTCAACCGATTTCAACAAAACTTCACAGGACTACATAAAATTATTTTGTGGTGGTTCTAACAGCGCCAAAAATGGGAAAAATATAATTTTTTTTGCACAAAATCAATTTGAAAAC